GGCTCAAATGATCCTCTTGCTTCAGTTTTTCTATTTTGAGTACAGACTCCCATCTTGGCCTCCCAGAATACTAGGATAACAGATGTGAGCCACCATACAGGCCTCCAAGCACAATTACTTTTAAATCTGTTTTTTTTCAACATGGTCCTTAGGGCAGAACATACATCCTTAATTCCCTCAGTAAGAGAAGTACTGGGCACCTGAGCTAAAGTCATTACATCTCTTTTTACTAAGTAAGCCCAATAAGTAGCCTTCAAGGTATTCCCACACCAACATCTAAATGTACAGGTGTCTTGTGAAACAAGTATTACCATTTAAAATGTTCTTTGATAAAGTTTAAGTAGATGTGATTATTTCCCTTAAGCAAAATTACTGTTTATTTTAGTTTTTAAGTCATGGTAAAGATAAACTGCACTGTAGATACTCGAATTATAAAGAAAAAATCAGCTTAAATAACAGTATCAGACATTTTGAAAATAAGCAAGAATTTCTCAACAATTTATAGATAAGTTTTAAACAAGAATGTGCAATTTCCTTCTCTGAAACCCTTTAAAATATGGCTAACCCACTAATCTCAAATTATTTAAATCTAACGATCACTAAAAAAAATCTAAAAGTCCTCTAGGAACTCAATAATTTTATCTACTCATTTGATTCTATATTTCAGATGGCAAAATTATTTCCTATCTTGATAATACTTAAAATGAATTTTCAAATGTATGGCCTCATTTTATGTTCCTAATATCCTAGTGAGCAGGAAGGTTAGCATTTATCATCAAGGAGGCTTGCTGGGTCTAGAAATCAGCATACCAGTTGCATGAAAATACTGGAAACAGGGCAGCACCTGTAGCTCAGTGGGTAGGGTGCTAGCCCCATATACCAAGGGTGGCAGGTTCAAACCCGGCCCTGGCCAAACTGCAACAAAAAATAGCCGGGTGTTGTGGTGGGCACCTGTAGTCCCAGCTACTCAGGAGGCTGAGGCAAGAGAATCACCTAAGCCCAGGAACTAGAGGTTGCTGTGAGCTGTGTGATGCCATGGCACTCTACTGAGGGCGATAAAGTGAGACTCTGTATCTACAAAAAAAAAAAAAAAAGAAAATACTGGAAACGTTATTTATTTATTTAGTTTATTTTTCAGAGATGTGGTCTTGCTCTGTGTTGTCCAAGCTAGAGTGCACTGGCACAATTATACAGTTCCTTGTGACCTTGAACTCCTAGGCTTAAAAGATTCTTCCACCACAGCCTCCTAAAGTGCTGGGATTACAGGCATGAGTCACCACAATTGCCCTGAAAACATTTTTTTCCCCAATGCTTGTTATTAAGAGATCTTAATTATACCTTTGATAGAAATGTGTCTTGCTTGTTTCTTCAACCAACAAAACTTCAGAAAATGCATCTGTTATATCAGCATCACTGTGAACCACAGAACCCAGTTCTGTGAGTGTACTTCTGCTCAAACTAGTCCCTAGGGAAAACCTGTCAAAGCCTGGAGCCTCTTCTGGTTTTTCTTCTTCAATTGGTTCCCATATATTCATCTCAAAAGAACCTATATTTCTCTGCACACGTTTTAGGGCTTTTGCCCTCACTTTATAAATAGAATGCATGACAACAGACATCATTTCTTCAGTCTGGGGACCTAGAAAGAAAAGAATAAATAGCCTTATGGTCAAATGTTTCTACCCAAGACATAACAGAATCCAGTTCTGCTCCCACCTTAGGACCTTAAACCTAACTGACAACCAAGGTTTATTTCTAGATGTTTTCTTCAATATTTATTAAAAAGCTCTGATTCATGTTTTAAGGTAGTACTACAGAAGCTAAAGAAGGTCTGTTACAGAGCAACAAAAGGGTGCCCTGGAAAAAATTTTTTTCCTTTGAGACAGAGCCTTATTTTATCACCCTCAGTAGAGTGCGGGGGGGGAGGGGGGCGGGGGGGGGGAAGGAGCCTTGGCTCACAGCAACTTCAAACTCTTGGGCTGAAGTAATTCTCTTGCCTCAGTCTCCCAAGCAGCTGAGACTACAGGCCCCGCCACAAAGCCTGGCTATTTTTAGAGATGGGTCTCATTCTTGCTCAGGCTGGTCTCTAACCCCTGAGCTCAGGCAATCCACCCACCTCAGACTCCCAGAGTACTAGAATTACAGGTGTGAGCCACCACACCCAGAGTCAAAAAAAATTTTTAACCTTTTTACTATTTCAGAAATCAGAAGGATAATTATTTTTTAAAATATTATTTTTTTCAATCCCAGGATAAAGTATATTTTTAACCAAAATAGAAAGAAGGACACCTTTCTTACTATGAGTAACAGGAAACAAAAGCAAGGAGTTTTTTTCAACAGAAAAAAATTTTATTTATTTATTTATTTTGAGACAGAGCCTCAAGCTGTCCCCCTGGGTAGAGTGCCGTAGCGTCACAGCTCACAGCAACCTCTAACTCCTGGGCTCAAGTGAGTCTCCTGCCTCAGCCTCCCAAGTAGCTGGGACCACAAGTGCCCGACACAACGCCCGACTATTTTTTTGGTTGTAGCCGTCATTGTTGTTTGGCCGGCCCAGGCTGGATTCGAACCTGCCACCTTAGATGTATGTGGCCGGTGCCTTAGCCACTTGAGCCACAGGCACCAAGCCAATAGAAAAAATTTAAACATTAATACATAAACAGAACACCTTAGAAGATGTCAAAAAATTAAGAAAAGTATAAATCACAAATATATTAATGAAATAATGTGAATTCACAAAACATCTAGATTTAAATACTAGATTATAGTTCTAAAAAAAGGTAATTTGAATTCTTTAAAAATTTCTGCAACATTGTAAATGCAATTAATGCCATTGGATTGTATATTTTAAAATGGTTAAAATAAATTTCATGTTTATAAAAATGAAAAATATTTTCTCAGTAAAAAAAATTCCATAGTGGGTATATAGGATAAAATTAGACCTAAACAACCTTAAAGGGAGATGAATAATCCTAGTCTTCAATAAACACATGCACTATACAAAGCATTACGTGCTGATTTTATGTATCTTGTTTAATCTTTCCCTCAATACACATTTAGTAAAGTTTATAAAAGTATACCCATTTTACAAAGAAGGAAATGAGGCTCACAATTACTCACAGAGTCATGACATGATATCAACTTCATCTGGTTCCAAAGCATAGCTCACTGCAGCCTCAAACTCCTGGGCTCAAAAGGCACTCCTGCCTCAGCCTCTGAAGTAGCTAAAACTATACGCATTCACCACCATGTCAAGCTAGCATTTTTTTTTTGTAGAGACAGAGTCTCACTTTATCACCCTTGGTAGAGTGCCGTGGTGTCAAACTGTTCACAGCAACCTCCAACTCCTGGGTCTAGGCAATTCTCTTGCCTCAGCCTCCCAAGTAGCTGGGACTACAGGCACCCACCACAATGCCCAGCTAAGTATTTTTATTTTTTTGTAGAGACAAAGGTCTCACTGTTTGTTGTCCAGGCTGGTCTTGAATTCTAGGTCTCAAGCAATCATCCTGCTTTAGCCTCCTAAAATGCTAGGATTACAGAAATAAACCACTGGACTTGGGCTAGTTTTTCTGTAACAGGAAAGTGCTTCTACCTTCTCATACTCTTGTCTCTAGGGAATGGCAGAAATGCATAGCTAAATAACCAATAGAAAATAAATGTATTTGAAACAAAAAGAATCTTCAGCCACTTATCTATAAGATATCTGAGAAATAACAAATAATACCTTTTACAACACAGTGTCTGAGTCTCTGTTGAAGAGAATGGTATTTTTCTCTTAAAGGAAACCTTACATCCTCAGGCTTGGGAAATGCTTTCACGAAAATTTCCGCTACCTTCAGAAAAAAAATTTAAGTTTTATGAGCAACATCATTTTTTCTTTTTCATTATTTAAACATGCTACTTTAACTCAAAACATAAATGTATATTTATTTTATTTGGTTTTTTTTTTTGAGACAGAGCCTCAAGCTGTCACCCTGGGTAGAGTGCTGTGGCATCACAGTTCACAGCAACCTCCAACTCCTGGGCTCAAGCGAGTCTCCTGCCTCAGTCTCCCAAGTAGCTGGGACCACAGGCGCCCGCCACAACACCTATTTTTTTGGTTGCAGCTGTCATTGTTGTTTGGCGGGCCTGGGCTGGATTCAAACCCACCACCTTAGGTGTACATGGCTGGCGCCTTAGCCTCTTGAGCCACAGGTGCCACAGATATTTATTAGTAATCATTTGATGTCAGGTCAAAGTCTCTTTGAGCATGAGTCTGCTGATAGGAGCTCAGCATCAACTTTCTTATTTTAAAATATTTAACTGACAAATTAAAATCGTACATATTCAAGCCTTTCAAAATGATATTTTAACACTGTGTTGATTATCACAGGCAAATTAATTAACACATCCATTACTATATATAGTTACTACTTTGTGTGTAAGGGGTAGTGAGGATACGGAAAATCCCCTCCCTTATCAAATATCAGTTAAATAATACACTATTAACTATAGTCAGCATGCTGTATATTAGATGCCCAGAATTTGATTACCTTGTAACTAAAAGTTTATACCCTGTGACCAACATTTCCCCATTTCTACCACATTCTTAGCCCCCAGCAATCAACATTCTATTCTCTGCTTCTGTGAGTCTGAATGTTTGAGATTCCACCCATAAGTAAGACCATACAGTATCTGCCTTTCTGAACCTAGAAGATACAATGCTAAGTGAAATAAGCCAGACACAGAAAGGAAGTACCATTGTTTAATCCCTTAAAGTCTTTGACTCTGGTTTAGTTTAGTTTCACCTACAATCACATTACCTGTCTGATTGGTGGCAGTTCTCCAATAAGACTCAAAATTATATCCTGAATAAGATCTTCAATATTAAAAAACCGAGAGAAAGGCAGCATTCTATAAGCCCATTCCACTGCACTGAGACCGTGCTCAACCACACAAGAATCAAACTCCACTTCAAGGTCCTAAATGGATATTGAAAAAATTCATTTCCTTTTCAGTTGAGATGGATAGACCAGAATGAGTTCAAAAGAAAGTTTTGCTACAAATAGTAAAATCTTCTATTAAGCAATAATTTCCCAAATAGTGTTTATTCAATTTTCTTATTCTTATGCTGGTAAATACCTTTTCTCCTCTTACATCTTCTCTTGCTTTCTGATACTGTCTACAACTGTAGGATAGTTTATCACGGATATGCAGCATCCAACACAAAGCACAAAGTTCTCTGAAGCAGCCTAAAGCAAGAATATGAAAAAGAGAGAAAATAGTATGAGTATGTACATTAACATTATAGCAACTCCACCTCTGCTTGATTTTCTCCAGAATAAGTGTCTTTATTTTGTGATTATAAAATAAATACATGGCTCAGTGCCCGTAGCACAGTGCTTACAGCACCAGCCACATACACACACAGAGGGTGGTGGGTTCAAACTCAGCCCAGGCCAGCTAAACAACAAATGAC